TCATATATTTTTTGTCTTTCTCTGTCTGACTGACTTATTTCACTTAGCATAATGCCTTCAAGGTCCATCCCTGTTGTCACAAATGTCAAGAGTTCATTCTTTTTTCTTTGCTGGGAAATCTTCACCCTGAGCTAACATCTATTGCCAACCTTCCTCTCTTTCTCCACACCCCCAAAGCCCCAGTACATAGTGGTATATTCTAGTTGTAGGTCCTTGTAGTTCTTCTTTGTGAGCTGTCGCCACGGCATGGCTACTGACAGACGAGTGGTGTGGTTCTGCCCCTGGGAACTGAACCCAGGCCACTGAAGCAAAGCGTGCTGAATTTTATCCACTAGGCCATCGGGGCTGGCTTGAATTCATTCTTTTTTTATGGCTGAATAATATCCCCTCGTACATGTATGCTTCATTTTCTTTATCCATTCATCCATCGATGGACACTTAGGTTATTTCCATATCTTGGTTATTGTAAATAATGCTGCAATGAACATGGGGGTGCATATATCTTTTCAAGTTAGTATTTTCATTTTATTCAGATAAATAGCCAGAAGTGGAATTGCTGGATCATATGGTGCTTCCATTTTTAATTTTTTGAGGAACCTCTGTACTGTTTTCCATAGAGGCTGCACCGATTTACATTCCCACCAACAGTGCACAAGGGTTCCCTTTTCTCCACATCCTCATCAACACTTGTTATTTCTTGTCTTTTTGATAATAGCCACACTAAGAGGTATGAGCTGTTATCCCATTGTGGTTTGGATATGCATTTCTGATGATTAGTGATGTTGAGCACTTTTTCATGTATCTGTTGGCCATTTGTATGTCTTCTTTGGAAAAGATGTCTATTTAGATCTTCTGCCCATTTTTTAATTGGGTTGTTTGTTTTTCTGTCTGTTGAGTTGTATGAGTTCTTTATATGTTTTGAATATTAACTCCTTATCAGATATATGATTTGCAAATATTTTCTCCCATTCAGTAGGTTGCCTTTGCATTTTGTTAGTGGTTTCCTTTGCTGTATAGAAGCTTGTTAGTTTGACGTAGTCCCACTTGTTTATTTTTGCTTTTGTTGCCTTTGCTTTTGGTGTCAGATCCAAAAAATCACTGCCAAGGCCAATGTCAAGGAGTTTACCACCTATGTTTTCTTGTAGGAGTTTTATGGTTTCAGGTCTTACATTCAAGTCTTTAATCTATTTTGAGTTAATTTTTTTGTGTGGTGTAAGATAGCGGTCCAATTTAATTCTTTTGCAGATGGCTGTCCAGTTTTCCCAGCACCGTTTATTGAAAACACTCTCCTTTCCCCACAGTATTTTTTTGGCTCCTATGTGAAAAATTAATTGACCATATATGCGTGGGTTTATTTCTGGGCTCTCTATTCTGTTCTGCTGGTCTATATGTCTGTCTTTATGCCAATACCGTACTGGTTTTGATTACTATAGCATTGTAATATAGTTTGAAATTAGGGAGTGTGATGCCTCCAGTTTTGTTTTTCTTTCTCAAGGTTGCTTTGGCTATTCAGGGTCTTTTGTGGTACCATACAAATTTTAGGATTCTTTGTTCTATTTCTGTGAAAAATGCCATTAGAATTTTGATAGGGATTGCATTGAATCTGTAGATTGCTTTGGGTAATATGAACATTTTAACAATATTAATTCTTCCAATCTATGAGCATAGAATATCTTTCCATTTATTTGTGCTTTCTTCAATTTCTTTCTTTAACGTCTTATAATTTTCAGTGTACAAGTCTTTCACTGCCTTGGTTGAATTTATTCCTGAGTATTTTATTGTTTTGATGCAAATTTAGGTTGTTCATTTGAGATCTTTCTTGTTTTTTAATGTAAGCATTTATAGATATAAATTTCCCCCTCAGCACTGCCTTCACTGCATCCCATAAGTTTTGGTATGTTGTGTTTTCATTTTCATTTGTCTCTAAGTATTTTCTAATTTCCCTTGTGATTTCTTTTTTGATCCATTTGTTGTTTAGAAGTGCATTGTTGGGGCCGGCCCTGTGGCGTAGCAGTTAAGTGCTCCATTGCTGGCGGCCCGGGTTCGGATCCTGGGTGCATACCGATGCACCGCTTGTCAGGCCATGCTGTGGTGGCATCCCACATAAAGTAGAGGAAGATAGGCACAGATGTTAGCCCAGGGCCAGTATTCCTCAGCAAAAAGAGGAGGATTGGCATGGATGTTAGCTCAGGGCTGATCTTCCTCACAAAAAAAAAAAAGAATGTTGTTTAATTTCCGTAATATTGTGAATTTTCCAGTTTTCACTCTGTTATTGATTTCTAATTTCATCCCATTGTGGTCAGAGAAGATACTTTATGATATCTACCCTTTTAAATCTATTGAGACTTAATTTTTGACCTCACGTATAGTCTATCCACATGCACACTTGAAAAGAATGTGTATTTTGGTGTTGGGTAGAGTATTCTGTACATGTCTGTTAGATCTAGTTAGTCTATTGTGTTAAGTTCTCTATTTCCTTACTTATTTCTGTCTGGTTATTCTATCCATTATTGTGAGTGGAGTATTGAAATCTTCAACTATTATTGTACAAGTATACATTTTTTTCTTTAAGTCTATCAGGTTTTGATTCATATATTTTGATGGTCTGTTATTAGGTGCATAAATGTTTATAATTATTACTTCTTCTTGCTATATTGAACTTTTTATTAATATATAATGTTCTTTTTTAGTTTCTTGTAAACTTTTTTGATTTAAAGTTTATTTTGTCTGATATTAGTATAGACACCCCTGCTTTTTTTGGTTGCTATTTGCGTGGAATATCATTTTCCATGCTTTTATTTTCAATCTATTTGTGTCTTTGGATCTCAAGTGAGTCTCTTGTAGACAGCATATTGTTGGATCTTGTGCTTTTATCCATTATGCCAATCTCTGTCTTTTGATTGGAGAGTTTAATACATTTACATTTAAAGTAATTACTGATAAGGAGGGACTTATATCTGTCATTTTGCTATTTGTTTTCTATATGCCTTATAGCTTTTTTGTCCCCCATTTCCTGAATTACTGTCTTCTTTTGTGTTTAGTTGACTTTTTATAGTGAAATATTTAAATTCTTTTCTCATTTGCTCTTGTGGATATTCTATAGCTATTTTCTTTGTAGTTACCATGATGTTACATTTAACATCTCTAAGTTATAACACTGTATTTTGAATTTATACCAGCTTAACTTCAATAACATACAAAAACTCTGTTCCATTATAGCTCTGTTCCCACCCCTTCGAGTTGTTGATATTACAAAATCACATCTTTACACACTGTGTGCTCAAAAACATAAACTAATAATTATTTTAAGTGCATTAGTGTTTTAAACTGAAGAAAACAATATTTGGAGTTACAAACCAAATTTACAATAATACTGACTTTTAAGCTAATAATTCTCTTTTTCCTTTATATGTATTAGTCTCTTAAATCATGTAGAAGACAAAAGTACAGTTACAAGCCATTGTTACAATAATACTAGCTTTTATAATTTCCCATATATTTACCTTTATTGAGATCTTTGTTTCTGCATTTGGCTTTGAGTTACTGTGTAGTGTCCTTTCAGTTCACCTTGCAGGACTCCCTTGAGCACTGCTTGCAGAGCAGATCTAGTGGTAATGACTCCTTCAGCTTTTGTTTATCTAGAAATTTCTTCCTCACTTTTGAAGGACAGTTTTGCCAGATACAGAATTCTTGGTTGAGTATTTTTCTTTTAGCACTTTGAATATATCAGACCACTGTCTCATGGCCTCCAAAGTTTCTGATTAGGAACCCACTGATAATCTTAGATGAAGATCCACTGATTGAGGATCCCTTGTATGTAATGTTTTGCTTCTCTCTTGCTGCTTTCATGATTTTCTCTTTGTCTTTTGAAAGTTTGATTGTAGTGTGTCTCAGTGTGGATGTCTTTGAGTTCATCTTACTTGTAGCTTGTTGAACATCTTGGATGTTTATTTATTTATTTATTTTTTGTGAGGAAGATTAGCCTAGAGCTAATATCCGATGCCAATCCTCCTCTCTTTTTTGCTGAGGAAGATTGGCCCTGGGCTAACATCTGTGCCCATCTTCCTCTACTTTATATGGGATGCCTCCACAGCATGGCTTGACAAGCTGTGCATCGGTGTGGTACCGGGATCTGAACCTGCAAACGCTGGGCCGTTGAAGTGGAGCGTGCGCACTTAACCACCACGCCACCGGGCCGGCCCCTCTTTGATGTTTATATTCATGTCTTCAGTAATATTCTCTCTGTCCCTTTCTCTCTCTTCTCCTTTTGGGAGTCCCAAAATGTGTATGTTGGTCTGCTTGATAGTGTACCACAAGTCCCTTGGGCTCTGCTCACATTTCTTCAATCTTTTTGTTTCTGTCACTCAGACTTGATAATTTCCATTGTCCTATCTTCAGGTTCACTGATTCTTTCTTCTGTCTGATCAAATCTGCCTTTGAATTCCTCTAGTGAATTTTTCATTTCAGTTATTATACTTTTCAGCTCCAGAATTTCTTTCTTTATTTTTTTAGATTTTTTATCTATTGCTATTCCCATTTTTTTGTAAGTCTTTTTGTTGACTTTCTCGACATCTTCCTTTAGTTTTTTTGAGCATCTTTAAGACAATTGTTTTAAAGTTTTTGTCTGGTATATCTGTCATCAGGGTTACAGGGACAGTTTCTGTTGACTTATTTTTTACCTTTAAATAGGCCATACTTTCCTGTTTCTTTGTATGACTTGTGATTTTTTTTGTTGAATACTGGACATTTGAATCTAATAATGTAGTAAGTCTGGAAATCAGATTCTTCCCCTTCCCGTGGGTTTGCTGTTGTTTTTGAACATCCTAGTCTTTAATGTCTGACTCCCAAAAGGGGAAAGAGAGAAAGGCAAAGGGATGAGGAAGGACACCAGCCCTTTAAATCCCCTTGAAGTCACTTTAGCCAGAAGGGGAGGGGCTTGCATCAATGCTAGGAGGTGCAACAACAATGGCTGCCCACGTCTTTGTCTGCACCTCTGCTCAGAAGCAGCAATCAGTAATTAGAGCACAGATCCTTGATATTTGGAGGACAGGGTCCTTTTTGCCCACTCTGGCTCCTACAAGCTATGTGCAAGCTGCTCCAAGAACTGGTACACAGCTGTGTGCCACATGGCTAGGGGTGGGTAATAGATAGCTACTGCTGTGCTAGGAGCTGAGATTGACCAAAATTAACTGTAATTTACCATCCAAATCTTTTCCTGGAAGTTGCAAGTCTTCAGACTCCAAAATTCCAAAATAGCTGTATCGGACAGATTCTGCCAGTGCAGTTGTTGTATGGGTGAGGAGACAGATTCCTGGTGCCTCCTGCTCCGCCACCTTCCCAGAATCCTCTGGTATATATTTTTTTGTAATATTACTTCCAACCTTTCTCTCTCAGGTTTTAAATGCCTTTTGTTGACAGTGTATAGCTGGATTTAAGAAAGCACCAGTTTTAGAGTCTCTGTTTGTATCTTGTGAGTTACCCCACTTAGTGATTATTGACATATTTAGAATCATTTTTATCATCTTATTTTGTGCTTCCATTTGCTCTGGTTTTTTTTTTTTTTTTTTTTTTCCTGCTTTTCTCCTTTCTCACTTCCCCTCAAATGGTTTTAATTAGTTTTGTTTATTCTCTCCCTCTCTACTGGTTTGATACCTATATACTCTGTAATTTCAGTGGTTTTTCTTAAAAGTATAAATTTCTTAATAAATCTAAAGTTAATCAATATCTATCCTCCAGGTAAATAAGATAATTACTTTAATTCCATTATCCCCCTCCAATCTTAGAGAGAAAAAAGACAGATTGCTTATAAATGAATGACAGTCTGATGGAAGATTTCACATCAGCATCAACAGAATACAGCAATGAAATGATATCTTCTAAGAGCTGAGGTAAATTAACTGTTTACTTAAAAGTCAGTAACCATTTGAAATATAATTCAAGAGCAAAACTCAGATCCTTTCTGAAAGAACACTAAGTGGTGTACTTCAGTCAGAGGAAAACTGCAGAAGAAAGGAGTGGGGTGTCAGAAACAATGTAGATCAAAGAGACTGGTAAATTTTTATAAGCACTAACTATAAAATGTAATACTAAGAATAATTCTGTGAGATAGTTGGCTCCCCACTTTTACAGATGGAGAAAAGAAGAGTGGAGAAGTTAAGTTTCAAAGTGCATGGAGTCATGCAGTTAAAGACTAGAGCTAGGAGAATGCCCTGTTGTTCAGAGATGGCACGAGACTCAAAAAGCAATACTAGCAGTCTATGTTCATTCTTTGAGCTAACTTTGACTCACAGAGGTCTATGTCTGTGAGTTTTAGAATGTATAAGAAAAATTCACTCAGGTATTATCCTTTGAATTAAGGAGAACATGGAGCAAGAAGACCCATTAAAGATAAATTGTGAAAGTTTATACTTAAAATCCCAATTGTACAGAATGATTTTTCAGTCACTTAGCAAGATTATGTAAACTTTGATAAATATTAAATGACTGATGGTGATATGACCACGTTAAGAAACCAAAGGCAAAGAGAAAAGCCAAATTGAATCAACAAAATTACTCTTAGTAAATAACAAAACTTAGAGTTCCTCTGTATTTGGGGATAAACTGTAAACAATAAAACACATGTGAGGGGCCGGCCCCCTGGCTTGGCGGTTAAGTGGGTGGGCTCCGCTACTGGCGGCCTGGGTTCGGATCCCCAGCATGCACTGACGCACCGCTTCCCTCGCCGTGCTGGGGCCGAGTCCCACATGCAGCAACTAGGGGGAGGTGCAACTATGACATAGAGCTATCTGCTGGGGCTTTGGGGAAAAAAAAGGAGGAGGATTGGTAATAGATGTTAGCTTAGGGCTGACCTTCCTCAAAAAAAACAAAAAAACCCCACACATGTGATGTTGTATTTTTTGTGTGTGTAATTTTATTTTATTTATTTATTTATTTTTTTGTGAGGAGATCAGCCCTGTGCTAACATCTGCCAATCCTCCTCTTTTTTGCTGAGGAAGACTGGCCCTGAGCTAACATCTGTGCCCATCTTCCTCCACTTTATATGGGATGCCGTCACAGCATGGCTTGCCAAGCAGTGCATCGGTGCGCGCCCCGGATCCGAACTGGCGAACCCTGGGCCACCGCAGCAGAGCGTGCGCACTTAACCGCTTGCGCCACCGGGCCGGCCTGATGTTGTATTTTTAAAAAACATCACCTGATTTGTTCTTTAACCAGGCTTACATGCTACAATGTAATCTTTTAAAATTATAGTTAATTACAAGAAGGCACGTTATACCTCAGTTAATCACAGTTGTTTCAAAAATATGTCCTTTCTCTTAACAAAGCAGTAACCCAGCCAAAGCTTGGATAAACTGGCATTTCCCTAGATCACATGTTTCATTCCTAAACACAATGCCCCTTGTGTTTCTTTCAGGTGTCCATACTTTCTCTGAAAAATAGATCTCCCTTTCCAAAGCTTGAGCATTATCTGCTCTTTGAAAATAAATGCACTGTTCATGTGTGGACTAGTAGTGCAGGTGTTTCACCTCTCTTTTCCCAGTCAGGCAGATTCTTAAGCCTTTCATGAAATCAATTCAGTTTAATAAATCTCTGACATCCACTTCTCATCGTCATTTCCCTTTGTGGCCATAATATATATATGCCCCCAATACAACCAGATCATCTTTTATTCCATTATGTTTACATTTTTTATTATCTCAGGAGTTGCCAGCACTCGACTTGTTTCTCAGTTCTTAAAGGCGTTATAACTCTAGGGCAAGGCCAAAGTTCTGATCAAGCATCAGCAATCCAGATTGCTTTCATTTTCCCTGAACTTTCGACTGCTGCCTTATAGTATAGGTTTGCTCCTGTCGCTGGAAAGCACTGTTCGAAAGCTTTGCATGAAATTAAACTCCCTCAGGTATAATCAAACTTAATAAAGCCACAGAAGCGTGTATTGAAACAACTCTTGTCCTGAGTGGGGCATGTGAAACACTGACATTCTTAATACAGCGAGGACTGGTATTGAATGTCAGATAACTGATTCTGTCTTCTGAAGTGTAGGGTTTCAATCCCTCATTTTATTTTCCAACAATCACTTTCATGTTATTCCCTAAAAAATGAGGACGATATGCATTGCGGATCACTGGGCAAACTATAGTTGAGAAGGGAGAAAGAGGAGCAGAATTACTTAAAGACTTCATTTCTTCAGTGCAAAAGATAGTCATTGATATTACTTTTCAAACTATTTTCTGTGTAACTTGAAGTTTGAAGCAATTTATTATTGTCATTCATGTCTCTAGATTTTTTTGTATAATCCCTATTTTCTGTCATTTACTGTTACTGAAGTGAACCTCAGTAAAATATAGTACATATTTTAGGATTTCATTATTCCTGTTGCTTTCATGGCCAAGAGTTTTTAAAATTCATCTTCTATTGTAAATGTTGGAAAGTTTATATGAAGATAGTGAATAATCAATAAAGAATCTAGCTTCTTTACCTTTCTAATTGCAGTGTTTTGCTTAACACAATGTATTTAATGCTTTGTTGATTAAAAAGAAGAATGTAACACACTGGTAGTGTGTATTATTGCTTTTTTATCCAATTTACCAAATGTAACTAATCTGAACTTAATTGTGAAACATTATTCTGTTCTGAGGGTCTATTGAGTTCCTGTACAATGTTGGAAATTCATTTTGAAAACAAGTGTACATTTCTTCGGTTGTTTTAAAAACCTGTTTTGTAGAAATTAGCGATCAATTTCAAAATCAATTTTACTTTATATTTCAGGATTGATATTTCTATAAAAGATTTTAGACCAGAATTTGATATTCATGTTACATGCTTGCAATTCTCTGTGACACTGTGGGCTATAATTCATATGGACTATAGAATGGAAGTCAGTATTATGGGGAGATATTAAGGAGATTTTACTCACAAGGAGGTGCCATGGTTCTGGACTTAAGGAAAGTGTTAAGACATTTCAATGTTTTGAGATTTTGTTGTCAATGGCTGAAGTGAATTTGCAAAACATAATCATAATATGGAATCTACATTCCTTTTATAGTTATGCTTGAGCATGGGTCCCTTGTTTATGCTTGAGCCAGCTGATTTCAAAACTCCGAATTCATATCCCTTTGGGACAGCTAAAGAAGGGTCTCCCCGCTAGACATATAGGAAATAACATTCTGAAACTCCTTGAGATGCAGAAAGGGGAATACTCTATTTTTCAGCATTCTGGAGTTGAAATTTGCAAACACAATTTATCCAAAATTTTAAAGAGTTTTACTTAAGGTGTAAGCACCACTGGTAAATTGACTCAGCAAATATTTTTTCTTTTTCAACTTTGAGGAGTAATTTATGTGCAGTAAGTATAATTTGTCTCTTCTCCCCATTTACTTTATTTATTCAACCATTTATATATGTCAGTATGGAATCATATATTTATTTTGTAATTTGGGATTATAATGCAGTACTATGTTATTTATTTTGGTGCTCAAATTGTTCCGGCTTTGGCCATTGGGTGCTTTTTCAGATTGGCTCCTGTGTTCTTTTGACATGCCCCACCCATCTGTTTTTTGTGAGCTTCCTTACTTTCTGATACTGTAAGGCACTCCAGACTTATTTATTTATTTATTTATTTATTTTGTGAGGAAGATCAGCCCTGAGCTAACATCCATGCCAATCCTCCTCTTTTTGCTGAGGAAGACTGGCCCTGGGCTAACGTCTGTGCCCATCTTCTCCACTTTATATGGGACACCGCCACACCATGGCCTGACAAGCGGTGCATCTGTGCATGCCCGAGATCAAACCCAGGCCACTGGCAGCGGAGCACGTGCGGTTAACTGGTACGCCACGGGGCCAGCCCCTCCAGACTTATTTCTTTATTTTCTTTCCCTGCCCCAACCCTAGAATCAACCATTTTCCCAAGGATCCTTGGTTTCTTTTATTGGAAAATGGTATGTAGAAACCAAGGTGTGGGTGCTGGGTTTACTCTTGGCTGCTGGGATGAGATTACTTCTAGGCCCTCTCAGGGGACAGAGCTAAGTAAATGTATGTATGTATACTAACCCATGTATGCACATACATCTATAATTGGTCTATATCTATCTATCTGCATGTAAATTAAACTAAATATGAGTTCATACTGATGTCTCTGA